TCAACATACAATCGCAACTACTTAACACTAATTTGTTATCTCTTTACTGCCTAGTTTTATGCACTATCGCTAACGCCGCTGACGTTTTTTTTTCATTGTTAGGCTTTGGCTCTTGACGATTTCCTCTGCCTTCATTTCCCAGGCAAATTAGACGGCTTAAGATGGAAATGAAATTTCTAGATGGAAATGAATAGCCTTCAATCATAACGACAGATAATGTCAAAATGGGGGCCGCCTCAAAACCTGGCGTTATCACTTTCGATCACTGGTGTAAGTCATCCCTGTTGATCGATCAAAGGAGAGCTATCGTAGTTTTCCTATAAAGTAGACGAGCGAAGGGTGCAAAAGATCCAAGGTAGAAGGAAGAAAGTTGCGAAATGAGTCCATACAGGAGGTCTTTGAATACAGAACTAGCAAGGAGGGTCGTTCAGGACAAGCCGCGCTTATCAGAAACCGATTTTGCGTTTTATAGGGCATATGCATGGAACACAAACACATGTTTACTTTGTTGAACGGTTCTAAGAATGACAAGTAGGGAGTGGAGTGTTTTTTGAGAAGTACTAGTTTAGCTATGTATCAAAAAAACGTCTTCATAGCAGTTACTTACGGTCTTGGTCATGAATATCACGTCTTTTGAACGTTTTTGCCGTTAGGCACTACCCTGTAGGCGCCAACCTTTAAGCAACACCTCAAGCAGAACTTGTGTCGAGCAATTTGTCCAGTCAGTGGGATAGAGTAGCCCACGAGTATCACAGATGTGCCGTTGTCGCGGCTCGAAAGTGCGCGACAATGGCGCTAGGGTCTTACAAAGTCAGCATTTGGCGACTAATCTTAGCATTTGGACGAGTTACGTCGCGCACACCCCATGACACGCAACGTGGATTACGGCGTAGCGGCTAATTCAAATACGCGCGGGTTAGTTGAGCCGTGGAGCAGGCAAGTTCGTACAACTCGTCCGGCCCCGCCCCTTCCTTATTTCAAGGGAATTTTGTTTAGGCTTCATCGACGGTTTTCTTTGCTTCTTTTTTCATTTTTAGTCAACTCGGCATCCACAACTCCATTATCGACCGCTGTGACCCCACAAATTCGATCTGGGGGTGTTTCTTTGAATGCAAACTTCTGTCCTCACCGGCTATCGAACCGCTAACATTTCTTCCACAAATTTATGTCTCCCCTAAGACCGTGCAGCATAGATAACACCTGACCTTGCGTGACAATTTGCAAAGAACCTTTCAAAAAATCTTCCCCTTGCGTGCTCGACTTTTTTGTTATTTCTTTAAATAGTATTGCTTTTCGAATAGCTATGAATGCTTGAAATAGTGGATGAGGACAGGCAGATTTCCGCAATCAACTCCGTTTTCCAGTGAACCACTGGCCGAAATGCACTTGCAAACCGCCACGAGAACATAAGCATGCATTTCTGAGTGTTGCAAACGTCTTGGAAAGATCGGAAGCAGCCTGCTAACTAGATGTCGACATGCACTTCGCCCTAGTTTGTAGTGCTGACGATTCAAAGAGGAATTCCCATCAATCCTTCAAAAAGGGCGACACCCTTGAGGGTACACTCGCAGCCAGGCGTGAAGCTTCCTCAATGTGACCTAGCATCTTCCCTGACTATCCTAACAAGGTGCTATTCACCTGGGGCGAATCACTTTGTTGCAATATTCCATGCGAACAGCGGGGTGCTGAAGCTACGAGCCGCGTTCGCACCTTATTTCTTTGATTTTCTATATTCGGTACTGGATGGTGCAAAGAATCATTCTCGAGGCAGAGGATGATGATTTTCGTGGAAGATAACCGCAGTTATAGTTTGCAATAAGTGTAGCAGTCGGATCAATTTTCCAACTGCACAAATGAAACTTGGGTAGGGTCAACCGTACAAATACCAACTGGGGGGGGGTCATGTTTGGGGTTGATGAAAACAAATCATCGAGAAGATTGTCGTATTTTTGAAAATTGAAGTTAATGGTTGAGAGAGAGGAGCGCCAAACGTATTCCACAGAGGCTTCTGCGATTTTGCGGAAAACACACAAAGTGAAGGGAAGGCAAATCAGTCAGACAGCCTATCGAGGGATAATTGAGCGAGTGGAAGGAGTTAGGTGCGGCCTGTATTTCAACCATTAATTATAAACAGCTGTGTGCGGAAGGTCGGAGAGGTGCACGTATGGTGTTGATACCCTCCACTGGTATAGATCACCATAGAGTCCTTTTGAAGTGCTGTCGTCGAACTTTACGTAAAAAGTCGGCCCTGAATGCCAACGGTAACCCTGAGCCTGAGTAGATAACGTAGTCCAATGCAAGCTACTAGCTGCCGGTATATAGGAAATTCTGCGTTATTGACCAAAGTCTTATGACTGGATTTTTGCATACCGAAGAAAGTAGGCCATCACGTCGGAGTTCCTTTTACTCCTCTCCGAGGTTTGATAAATCTATTATCCTCCTCGACAAGCCCATAGAGCTCACGTGGCAACGCATTTCCCCTTCCCGCTCCTCCTTAGACTAAACAAGCCTAACCTTCCAATGAATGTATGACAACACCAGGAAAATTTTTTTAGCTTATGTCATAATGTTACTATTCCCCTTCAATTTCACCCTACGCTAAAAATAGGTCAGTTCATCTCAACACGGCTGACAGCTATACCGAATAATGGAGCACGAATCATAGCAAACCATCATTATCTGGCATTTCATGGAATGCTGCCAGCCCTTGTTAGATACACTCGAGGCGTTGGACTTCGAGATGCATACATTATTCAAAGGCTAAGACATGCATGCGAGTTAATCGTGGTTGTCATGGCTAGCTCTTAATCCGAGGGTAAAGCCTATTGACAGTTGCTGAAATCTGTGGGGTGTTTTTCGGGCCCTTTGCATTCCCCAAATCCTTCGCAAAAACCTCATATCCTTGCAGATATCTTCTCGTTTTCTTCCAATGATTTATTGAGGGTTCACCAGGGAAGGCTCTGATTTCTCCTTGGGACTTCGACAGAGACAGTTAACCATTAGACAAATACTAGCTGGCGCAAGATGACCACACCAAACAGTCCACCACAACGTTCTTACTAACAATTTCTTAGCATATATCAAAAATTGGCAAACGTGAGCATAGTAAGGAAGGCAACTAACTCTATACTCTCCTTATTTTTTTCTACCTATTTACATCTACTAAGGGATTACGTAAGTTTGCCTTGCAACACCTGGATATATTCTTTATGTCCCCCCCTCCAATCTGGCGCTAGATTTAAATCGCAACAATTCAACCTTTACGCGTTATTGGACAACATTTGACTCTCATAATTTAGTTTGTAATATGTGCCTCAGTAAGCTTCTGTTCTTCATATTAGATGACTAATCATTCTGCCATGCTCGATCATACCGACTTCATCTCACGTCCCATGAGATCTCTAGAAGTTTTCCCCAAGTTGACTTATCGGAGTAAAAAGTCCAATTACAGAATTTCTCATTCGGAAAGATCGAAGAATATTTTCTCTTTCAGTTCCACGTAGAGTTAAAGGACGAATTCACGATGAAAAAGCAAACCATTCCAAATTAACCTAGGGATGGTGAGTGGTACACGAAAGAAGGAAGAACCATGAGAAACGGCCCAGAACCCGAGAAATGAGTACCCCTTCCTTGCCCGTTGATTTCGACACTCTGCAACGACTGGGGACGCTCTATGAGCTGTCTAGAGTCACTCAGCTTCACTATTGACACTAACGGCAACATGATGCTTCGAATGATCGCTACGGGGCGGAGATCGCCGGACCCGCCAGCTTTGAGGCATGATAGGTCGCCGAGGTCAAATTTTTCCATGCGAATTGCGCGTCAGTTCGCACCCTCAGGAGGTCCGTGGGTCCCTCAACTAGGTCAGTTTCCCTTTCTTCGACCTTCATTCTAATCGTGAATTCCTCCTTTAAAACCCAAATAGCTGAGTAAACTATCTCCCATGATATGCTAAAAAGCAAGAAACTCAACAAAGGTCAAACACCAGCACCAGTTACTTCTACACTATCTTTTTTTTTCTTTTTTTTTTTCGTTAATTTAGCAAAAGTTGCACTTTTTCGAACCTAATGCGCCAAACATCTAGAATATTACGAATTGTTCTGTCCCGAAGTCTCATGTCGATCTAAATGTGTATTAAACAATGTGAGACTTCAAAATTTTATTGCAAAAGACTCAAAACTTTCTACAAAAGAAATTGCAAAAATGTGTGTTTGCAAAAGTTTTGCAAAAGTTTAGGCCTTTTTGGCGAGCTTTCGGCGCTTAGCGCCTTTGTCGAGCCTGAAGCACGAAGTTCTTGGTCCGCCTTCTATGTTAGCAGAGTCGTGACAACGATCACTTACCTCCTGAGAACATTCCCTGCCCTTAGAAGTATCCCCTTTAGAACTTCTTAGGGAAACTCTAGTAAAGAACATAAGGAAGTCTTTGTGGTCAAAGCGAAGCCGAATCTATTATTTCAAGTTCAGTGGCATTGTTGAACGGCTGTTGATTGATGGCCGTATCGACTAAAGTAGTCGTAGTGGAAGACTAAGCTGTTCCCGGGTTTGGCCTTGGGTGAGGTGAGGTATCCCTGCGTCACTTTGTCTATTGCAATCACTCGCGCTGCTATCTCTCTTCTTTAGCGCGAAATCAAGTGCATGCGAGACAGAGAAAGAGAGTGTGTGTGGATTCGGGTAGGGTTCTGAGGGCCCCCGTTCACGTCTCTCCACATCTTCATGCGCTCCTGCCACTTCCAACTATCACTCGCTGCGCAATTATCGTCTCTGTCTTTGGCTGTTTTGCGCATTTCCATCAATTCCGTTCTTCAACTCGTCATTATCGATCCGTATTGATTCGTTTTCGCTGCAGGGTTGCTGCCAGAGCTCGCCACGACAGTGATCAATCGATTGTATTGAATGCCTTGATCGTCACCTGAATCACGACTGACCCTGGCTTTTGTTAGTGGAAAGTGTGTGGGCACAGCGCGACTTCCAGACGCGCTGGCTCTTTGCCTCAAGGCACGAATGGAGACGAAAGATTTCGAATTCCGACCAACGAAGGAGGGAGCACGTTCAAAAAGCCCCGGTGTCATTGGTCGTCTCAGTAATTTCGCCCGTTCCAAGACACGTCATTCGCTGAACGAGAAGACCTCCAATTCTACCACTTTCAACGAAAAACCAAAGAAGGTAGGTCGTCTACACCTACGAAGTATCCCTATAAATAACCCAAGTAATTTGTTGGGAAAGCACAGCATCACTTTCGTTACACCTTTTTCGTAAGTTTTCGTGACAAAAAAGGTACCTCGCTTAAAATATTAGTACGATTTTTCTTCAAAATGCTTATACTTATGCCACACGTACGATACGTACGATTTTTTTCCGCGGAAGGACATGTCGTAATTACAGACTCAGTAGCAAAGGTTGGTGGTGACCTCGGCAAAACTTGATATTGCATGTGTTTTTGATGCTCTTGATATTGTTCGATCACCAGTGTGCTGCTAAATCTGCACAAACGACATGATCCGTCTGGAAAGCGGAGTGTACTTTTGATATATCATGTCTTTGAAAACTGCCAGGTTTCAGCTCGTTATCTTCCCTCTAGGATTTATCAATACTCTGATGTTTTTTTGGATTTCTTATCGGTTTTCAGCGGTGCTGATTTCAAACTATCAGAAAAGAGAAGCTCTAATGTCACGGTCATAGTTCGCGACCTGACGACTCTGCGTCTTTGCGATCTTGCTTTCTTTGGTTACAAGGCACCTGTCAACCAAAGGGTGTAGATGAAAAAGCATACATTTTATGTGGTACCAAAACCGACCCTTCGAAGTAAATAAAGAAAGCAGAGATGCAGTATACTATGAATTTGTGAGAGCTCCTAGAAAGCTTAAAGGGTTGAATTGCATAGTCTCATGGTTGACAGAAATCCTGGGTCATAGGGCATCTGTTAATCGTGAGGTTAGGCAATTCAGTATTCAGTGGTATTGTATGGGAGCTAGCATCACGCATGCACACTATTACAGCAT